ATATTGTTGGCATTTCTATTCTATTCTCAATTTCTATTATACTTTTGCCCATTATCTGCTGTTACAAGCCCATTTTTTCTGCTGTTATAAGTCCATCTTTTCTGCTGTTACAAGCCCATCTTTTCTGCTGTTACAAGCCCATCATCTGCTGTTACAAGCCCATCATCTGCTGTTACAAGCCCATCATCTACTGTTACAAGCTCATCATCTGTTGTTACAAGCCGATCATCTGCTGTTACAAGCCCATCTTTTCTGCTGTTACAAGCCCATCTTTTCTGCTGTTACAAGCCCATCATCTGCTGTTACAAGCCCATCATCTGCTGTTACAAGCCCATCATCTGCTGTTACAAGCCCATTATCTGCTGTTACAAGCCCATCATCTGCTGTTACAAGCCCATCTTTTCTGCTGTTACAAGCCCATCATTTGCTGTTACAAGCCCATCATCTGCTGTTACAAGCCCATCATCTGCTGTTACAAGCCCATCATCTGCTGTTACAAACCCATCTTTTCTGCTGTTACAAGCCCATCATCTGCTGTTACAAGCCCATCTTTTCTGCTGTTACAAGCCCATCTTTTCTGCTGTTACAAGCCCATCATCTGCTGTTACAAGCCCATCATCTGCTGTTACAAGCCCATCATCTGCTGTTACAAGCCCATCATCTGCTGTTACAAGCCCATCATCTGCTGTTACAAGCCCATCATCTGCTGTTACAAGCCCATCTTTTCTGCTGATGCTTCTTCTTCCTCATCTTCTTCATCTTTTGTGTCTCACAAAATGCTTAGCCCATTATGTGAATAAGCTCTGTGTGTTTGTTATTGTTTACTGAGATACACATGTAATATTCAAAATATGGCACATACAATTCAAGATGTCTAATTATGAAAATCTCACCTTTGTGTCACATTTCTGTCCGCTAAGTAGTTCAGGGGAACCGTACATCTTACTCCCTATGTCACGTGTAGTTGTGTTAAAATCAACAGGAATTCCTGAGTTTACAAACGAAGATAACATTAAAACTGAACCCCACAAACCATCACAAAAACAATCATCAGTAAAAGATTCATTGCAAAGCATTTCTCCAACCATGACCTTCTGGAAAGACTCTTGATCACTCAATTATTCCTATCACTTGATGCATTTTATTTTTACAGCTTAGGGTGTCTTTAACCTCTTGTCGCGGGAAACCTTAAAAATAATTTAGGCCATGTCTTCTTTGGAATTCCAGAAAAAAATTTGTTAATTTCTTTTTTTTTTCTTTTTAACACAGGACACTAATAAACTTGTTGCAAATTTATTTACCTAAATTTTAAAATGTGTTTTTAAATATGTAAAGATATAAGTGAAGCACTAAATGGAATACATTCCCCCTGGTCTTAAAGACCATATGTGACTCGGGTGACTTACGCCATGACCTTGTGGCCTCTATCCCTGAGGCTTATGGGAAGATCTGATGTCTACGTGGATGTGTAATTGGGCACTGAATGTTGTGTAATATTATTTTGTTGACTTTACAAGTGACTCACTGGGGCATTAACTATGACCTTCTGTCATGATCCCTTATTTCCATGTTTCTGGGTCAATAGGGTTAATGTCATCCGTTTCTTAAGCACCGTCTTGCTCTGATATCAGCTTACCTAACACATATATTATTGGTGTCGGATAGCGACCAGTGTTGATGCATTCAAAAAGATGTCCAAACCATTTGATCTTCTGCCTGCAGGGTGTCCATAAGTTTCCATACAAAGGAAATATTTACATTTAAAAAAAATGAAAACCATTTTTATTTTTATCAGAACAGTTGAAAGCAGAGCTGGAGTTATGCTTGTAATGGCGCTAATGATATGTTTGTTTTTCTTGTATCTAACAAAAGGTGTTGTTCCCACAATCCGTGTGACAGTACTTCTTCTTACTTGGTGTTGGTCAAAATGGCAGCTTCCTAAGGTCATCTTATCTCACAAGTGTTGATGTCATGTGATGAATTGTTGATAATGTCCAAGTTTGACACTGGTTGTACAGTGTTGGTATGAATATGCTGCTTCTTATCTCTTGTTTTGCTGACATAGTTATGTGCAGAAATCAACAAAATCTATAAACACATACTGACCTTCAACTGAAGGGGATGAGCAGATGCTGTCATTACCGTTCACACTTTTGATGAGGCCAAAATCACCAATTTTCACATGGAGGTTGTTGCCCATAAGGAATATATTCTGCGGCTGAAAAGATATTACTAGATACATGATTAAGCATCATAAGCTAAACTTACTGAACAGAACAAATAATTACAACTCTAAAGACAAAAAAACAAATGATTTAAAAAATCCAAAGATAAAGGAACAGAGGATAATAAATCCAAATAAAAAATAACAAACGATAAGAAATCCAAAGAAAAAAAGAATAAATGATAAAAAATTTTAAGATTAAAGAAGAAATAATAACACAGTTAAAATATTACAGAAAAAAAAAACAATAACACATAAAAAAAGAACAAATAATAACTAATCCAAAGATTTAAAAAAAAACAAAGGTAAGAAATCCAAAATAAAAGAATAAATTACAAAAAATCCAAAGAATCAAAGAATAAATGATAACCCATTTAAAAGTTTGGAGAAGAAATGATAACACATTAAAAAATAAGAAAAAATTGTAAATAATCCAAAGATAAAATAATAAATGCTAAGAAATCTAAAACTATTAATAAATGAAGCACATAAAAAAGATTAAAGAAGAGATGATAATACATTTAAAAGATAAAAGAACAAATAATAACTAATCCAAAGACAAAAGAAGAAATGATAACAAATCCAAAGATATGATGACTGCCTCTTTCTGAGATGTGTGACAGGTTGCCTTTAGGTTTTAACAACTGGCTTTACTATCTACATCAACCATACTAGCATATCATGGATTCCCTTTCTGGAGCAGGCTGATAGATTAGCTGCTGCAGCTCCTATGAGTGGGGAGCTACTTTAGGATAAAGTGGAGTGGTCAAGGCTCTCATGGATCAAATGGACAGTGCAACAGAACAGATAGAGAATCCATGCACTGAAAGACTAATTCAACAAGGAGAGAATATGCAGAGCTTCTAGAAGATATTCAACACTAAGGGGAAAACAGAGACAGACTTTTAATCAGGTTACTACTGTCACTTTTAGCATGTCGGCTCTTCACTGGCCACTGAAGAAGGGGATGAAGTACGTTTGAGATTGGGCCAAGTGCAGTGATGTTAATTCCTGAATCATTCATTCATTCATTTATGGTGTAGGGCTGCGGAGGTCGTGAGCCTGAAGATTTTAGGCCACACAGCTGGTGTAGACGACATCTGTTAGGGTTTTTCCAGGTTCTGTCGTGTGTACCATGGCAGGAAAAATATCTTCATCCTTTTCTGAGGATCGAACCTGAGTCTCCTACATGGCAGCCGGATAGTCTGACCACTGTCCAGTTATTCTCCTCATGCCTTCGCCTCTTTCAAAGGGCACAGATTACTCACTTTTGGAGTCCAAAGAAGTTTGAAGATTCTTCTGTAAAGCCACACCTCTGAGGCCTCAAGGAATTTTATTGCTAGTTTACAAACTAACATTTACATAAAGACAGTGCGCCCAGCAAATAACTGGCTAAATATTTGGCAGTTTGGGGGACATGTAAACTGAGCAGCAACTGGGCCAGCAACACTGGCCCAGCTTTAGCGGAGTATTAACTTTTTTGGCACCAAAAAAGTTTAATTAGTTATAAATCAGCACATGATACATTGCATGGTATTCAATCAAAGTGTTACAGCTGACACAAAAAGCATAATAATATCACTCTATACAGAAATATTGGATGTGTGAGGAATTTTTTGTTGTTGTTTTTTAAACAAAAGTGTGATATTGGTTTGGGCATTCAAAATCTAGGAACTGTAGTAGTGGTAGCAAATTGTAGCAGCAGTAGCAAGTGTACTAGTAGTAGCAAATGTAACAGAAGCAGTAGCACTAGCAATTTTAAAAGCAGTAGTATCAGCAGTAGTTATTAGTAACAGTAGTAGTATCATTGGCAACAATAATAGTAGCAGTAGGAGTAAGGGTAGCAGCAGTAATAGTAGCAGCAGTAAATATTTAAAAGTAGCACTAGTAAAAGTAGCCACAGTAACTGTAGTAATAGTAATATTAGTCATATCATTAGTTGTATTAGTATCAGTAGCTATAGTAGTAGTAGCAGCAGTAATAACTGAAGTAGCAGTAGTAATAATAGCACTAGTAATAGTAGCTGTAGCAACTGTAGTGGTAGTATCAGTAGTAATATCAGTTGTAATAGTAGTAGTAGCAGCAGTAACAGTTGCTGTAGCAATTTCAGTAGTAGCAATAGTAATCATGGCACTAGTAATAGTAGCAGTAGCAGGATTTTTAGCTCAGTGAAGGTGATGCTATAAAAAGAAATCATGCTTACCTTCAAGTCTCGATGCATTAGACCCCTGGAATGTAGATAGCTGACTCCACACAAAATTTCATGGAAAATTTGTTTAACATCTGGATGCAGGTCAAGAGTTTCGTAATCTGAGCCTGGGCCAAACAAATAATAAGTGTTAATTCAGTCTTTCCTTTCAAGGACCAGTGACTGATGATGCTTTTTTACATCTCCTTCAGTAATTTTCCTAATTAGTGGCCCACAGGAAAATGTAAGCGGTTAGTGTAAAAGATTTAAAATCAGTTCCAAAAAACTCCCCGTGTGGATTTCAGGGTCCCACTTTTGGGAGAACAAGAACAGACTCACTGCCTCTCAGACAAGTATGTTATAAGAGTCAACTAACTGGGAGCTTCCTTCTAACAATCTGTATACAAATAAGTCAGATCTGTAAAATGGATGTGCACGCAACAGAGTTGGATGAAAAACCAGAACCTTACGCTGTAGTTTACAGCTGTTGAATGTGAAGAAGAAATCAGGTCTGTATAATGGATGTGCATGCAACACTTAGGTTCTGGAACAATTCTTAAGTCCAGAGTTGGACGAATAACCAGAACCTTTCTCCAGGGTTTACAGCCAGTGAACGTGCAGAAGAAGAAGAAGATCCCCTCTCCCCAAAAAAGCCCTAAACTTCCTTCATGTGTGGGTTCTAGGATCCCATGGAGGGAGGGCAGGGGGAGAACAAATCTACTGTCCTTATAAGCAGGTCTTAGGAGGTGAATAATTAGGGCGCTTCCTTGGAAGCCAGGATCCATCTTCATGAGAAGTGAGGAGCCAACAGTCTGCTTACAAATAAGCCAGATCTGAAAATTGGATGTGCACACAAAACTCAGGCTCTGGAAGTGGACGACCAACCAGAACTTTCTGCCAGAGTTTACAGCCAGTAAATGTAAAGAAGAAGAAAACAGAGAAGAATGGAATCCTTTTTGCAATTCTAATATTTATAAATTATAATAAATTCCTCAATGTAAAGTAAGTAAAACTAAAGGACCCTTCTCCACGCCTTTTGGTGTACTGTTCATACAGGGCTAGATCTATATTGATAGACCAACTGGCACTCAGTGGGTGATGTGGTCAACATCATGCCGGCCACTTTTACTTCCCAGGACTGTACCTGGTTAAGGCTAGTTCGACCAGCCAAATTCCTCAATATAACTACTTAAAATCTGAAGTCCATGACAGACCTTTGAAAATAAAAGGTCTGGGCGAACTGGGAACCACTATTCCGAGTCCCACAGGATGTATGCATTCAAGGGAAGGTATGACTGAGGGGTCATTATGCCTGCTTTAAGATCAGAGGCTGACAGTGGTGACTGGGATTGTGCTAAATGGGGGGGGGGGGGGGGGGGGGTGTAGAAAAAGAGGAGGGCAAAGAAGAACCTGAAATTACAACATCAAGAAATGGACAGGACTAAGTTATCATTTCTTATTCATCAAGGAAAAGACAGAGAAAGATGGCTGGTTTTATGTGCTAGTTCTTCCATCAATACACCTCCGCGACCCTAATGGGTCAAGGGTTATGTTATGTTAAAAGGAAAAAAGGATGGTATACTCCACCCTTATCCTAGAGTAGCCGATTACCAGAGCAGCTGCTGATGCTGAAATAAGGGCCCTTATCCATGGTGATATCATCATCTATATAGACAGCTCAGTAATTTGTAGGGTGTGGTCTGGGTGGACATACACAGGGCAGGTGAATGGGAAAACAGTAAAGGAAAAAAGACAGGCATTTAGTTCAACTACTTCTAGCATGACTACTTGAGCACTTGAAGAACCCTGGAACAGAAAGCAATATACATGCTGATAGTGACAGACTCAGTGAGCATGCCTAAGAAGATCCAAACTGGCAAACTCCTACTAGATAGAGAAGACAGTATCCAGAAGTCCAGCGTGAAGATATTCTGGCTGTACACGCCAGGGTGAAATGATATGTAGGGACTTTGGGGGCAGTGAATCCACATCAGTCGCCAGAATGGCAGACTTGGGAATTAAGATCGGCATAGAAAAAAACGAGACACACACCAGACACTCCAGAAGACTTGTTAATCAACATAGAACTGGTACTATTAGCCATCGGATGTTGGGGTTAATACTGAGGGAAGGATCTGAGCACCTATGGATATGCCCGGAGTGCAAGGATGATAACCCAACTAACTGACTAACTGATATGTAGGGGCTGATGGAGGGAGAAATATGAACAGGGCAGACATTCTGAAAGAGCTGCATTCCAAAGACGTTGAAACAAAGAAGTAAGAGACCATGAAGTGCCTGTTGAAAATGGATACTGAACGAGGACAAGCATGCAGAAAGCAGTTGTGGAGTCAAGAAGAAATGCTAATCATCTCCTGACTCTGCTGGGAATGCTGAGCAAGGAGACACTGAGATGACTGCTGCATCGGAGGACGGAGTATGAATGGTCGAACCGGTGTGCTAGGATGTCGACAAAAGAATAACAAAGAACAACTAGTCATATAGGATAAAGGTGAGCAGCTTGAAGAGCCTAGGTATGTGTTGCGAGCCTAGGTATGTGTTGAGCATGTTAAAACTGCAGCTATTGAGTCCTTGCTTTGTGTGATGCTCTTGGCAGGCAACTAGCTGACCTGTGACAAGACAGATAGATCAATAGATAGACAGACAGACAGACAGAGAGAAATAAAGAGAGAGGAAGAGAGAGAAAAAGAGAGAGAGAGACCAAGCCAACTGGAATTTAGTCAGGTGAAATGAATCTGACTCTCTCGACCTTAAATGTTGGAACCCACCATTTAAACCAGGGGGTGGCAACCTTCTCTCTCTCTCTCTCTGTATGTGTGCGCATGTGTGTGCATGTGTGTGCACGTGTGTGTGTGTGCATGTGCGCGCGCGTGTGTTGTCCACAGGCTAAATTTAGAGATACCAGCTCGCTCAGAGGCCGTATAAATTAAAAAAAAATTATAAACAGAACATATAGATTTCCTCTTTTTACCTAGAAACTTGCCAGCAGAGAGGGAAAAAAAGAACAGTTATTGCTTTCTATTTTGTTATCAAAGTCTACTGACGGACACTGTCTCCTAATATCTGAGTTTGTCTGGAACACATGTTGCATGATCAAAGATTTGGTGACAGCAGTTTCTAGTTATCACTGTTTTAGATGTTGATATTTGGATTCTTCTTTCTGCATTTAAAAAAAAAATAAACACAATCCATGAGCTGTTAACCCTCTGGCTCGGTACTATGGATATTGCAACCCTTCGGACTTGATTCAACGATAGATACATGTGGCTTTTCTGCCTACCCCAGGGCCTGAATCCAGACCACAAGAAGTTCGTCACCTGGTCGCTGCACAGTCAGGTTTAACTAACTGAGCTAGCCAGTTGGGCCTTCTTTCTGCATAGGAACATATGTTTTTGTGTTCTGCTATTAGTGAGCAAGGACCAGATTACACAGTAATTTTACACCACCCTCGAGGGTCAGTTCAAAATTTAAAAAAAGCCGCTCAGGGGACCAGTTTTGGCCTGCAAGCCTTAGTTTGATCATTCCTGTTTTAAAGAGATTCCAATTACTGTAAGGTTTTAAGTCTGGAAATATTTTGCAAAAGAGATTTCAAATTCTGCAGTTTTGCACTTTCAAACTTGATGGGAAAAGAGTTAGCCCGAAAGACAAATAAATAAACAAAATTAATACATGGCTAACTTTACCATATGGTGTAAAAGGGACAAAAACACATGGCTGGCTTGACAATATGGTGAAAAAGGGACAAAAATAAACACATGGCTGGCTAGAACATATGGTGAAAAAAGGACAAAAATAAACACATGGCTGGCTAGAACATATGGTGAAAAAGGGACAAAGATAAACACATGGCTGGCTAGAACATATGGTGAAAAAGGGACAAAGATAAACACATGGCTGGCTAGAACATATGGTGAAAAAGGGACAAAGATAAACACATGGCTGGCTAGAACATATGGTGAAAAAGGGACAAAGATAAACACATGGCTGGCAAGAACATATGGTGAAAAAGGGACAAAAATAAACACATGGCTGGCTAGAACATATGGTGAAAAAGGGACAAAGATAAACACATGGCTGGCTAGAACATATGGTGAAAAAGGGACAAAGATAAACACATGGCTGGCTAGAACATATGGTGAAAAAGGGACAAAGATAAACACATCGCTAGCCAGAACATATGGTGAAAAAGGGACAAAGATAAACACAATTGATATAAGTGTGTGAGACGAAGCCATGATCCCCGAAGCTTATTTTCATAGCATATGATTGTAAGGAGTCATTTTTTCCTTCGTATCTCATAAACTATTCGGAATGGGCGGTCCTAAGAATAATGTATGAGTGAACAGACTGAGTGTCAAGCCAAGGTAAGCATGAAATTTACGAGGCAACCGTGAATTCTCTGTAGGTGGCCAAAAGTCATGAGAAGCAGACAGTGCGAGAAATGCATCAGAACATTCTGGAAGGAAAGGAAGAGGCTATTTAAGCCATTTGAAACTGAGACAGTCTAGTCTAGTTTCGATCTGGCCCTGGAGGTTGAAGTGCGTGAAGTGAAAGAAACCTGAATGGAGAGTGTAAATGTTTCAACTTATTAGCCGAAAAAACCTGATTAATCAATTCAAGACGACATGGAATGGAGGAAAGACAGCTGTGACTTTGTAGTTTCTGATGCTGTTTTTGTCAGTTTGAGAAGTGCAAGCGTTGGATGCAGGACAGTGCAAATCCTTGTTTTGTTGTAAGTAATAATGTGCTTGTGAACATAGCTAGAACCCTAGACATTTATCCTCTGACATGTTTTGCTCCAGAGGGCATTGTTGCAGAATAAAGAGATTCATTAGCTGCTGTTTGGTGTTTTCTCAACATGTGTTCCAGTTACAGTTTGCTGTGTTGCAGTATTTGAGAATGCGCCAGAGTAGACTGCATATGATTAAGAAAGAGGAGAGTAACTGCAATGATGATGATAAATGTGTTACCAACTGTTCTGTTCCTTTTTTCTAGCCAGTAATGTAAAGTGCAGTTACATAGTTCCATCTGTATGCACAGCAACTGTTTGTCCTGGCAACAACAAAATAACATCTGCATGAGCTGAATGTTTGGTTAAATTTAGATTAATGTTTACACAAACTGAATGTCGGGTTAAATTCAGATTAATGTTTACATGAGCTGAATGTCTGGTTAAATTCAGATTAATGTTTACACAAACTGAATGTCTGGTTAAATTCAGGTTATTGTTTACATGAACTGAATGTCTGGTTAAATTCAGATTAATGTTTACACAAACTGAATGTCTGGTTAAATTCAGGTTATTGTTTACATGAACTGAATGTCTGGTTAAATTCAGATAAATCTTTACATGAGCTGAATGTCTGGTTAAATTCAAATTCAAATTAATGTTAACATGAATTGAATATCTGGTGCCCATTTGTGGGTTCCAAGACTCTATTTGGGGGAGGGGGATGAAGAGACCCACAGTAAGATTTACATTTATTCTTCTGCCCTTTATCTCCAATAGAGCATAGGCCCTCAACCAACACACCAAGTCAGTATATCCTTTGTTACTGCATGCAGCTCACTCCATGTCTTCCCCATATTTTTAACTTCACTCTATATTTCCCTTTTCTGTGTATTTTTTATTTCTCTCCAAAGCACCAAATTAGTGATTCTGACATACCATTTAATTCACTCTATTCTACACCAGTATTAGTTAATTAGTAATTGTTTTAATTGTTAGCCATGCTTAAGCATAGCATCCTTTTTGTTTTCTTAAAAACAAATGTACATCTATGCTCAATGGATAATTTGTGACAGTTAATTTAGTGAATGTTTAGTAACAGATTAAATGTAAGATTAAATCACAGATTAAGATTTTAAAAATGTAGACTTAGTTAACAGATTATGCTGTTTGCCGCTTGCTCTGAAGGTTATGAATTTCTTTCATGGACTGCTTCATTTGGTCACAAGTGCACTTTTAACAGGGATGTCACTGAAGCTACATAGTTTGTGCTTTGTTTTGGTTCTCTGCAGGAGGTTAGCCACTTTGCAGTGAGAGACCAAGCAATATGGGGGGATGGGGGGGGGGGTGCTATTAAGTCATTTCAAACAGTAAAAAAAAATTATAGTTAAAAAAAATGAATGCTCAACAAATGATTAAAGTTAACACTGCTGAATGCCAACTGGGGATACTTTGTATGGCTACGGCTTTCACTTGAAGTATCCAGCGTATCTGACTCAGTTTGGATTGGAATCACTGGCATTGGCGGTTGAGCAATTATGGGCTAAGCTAGTTTGCTGCGATGCTGGAACCGTAATGACTAACTAACTAACTAAGTAACAGCTGAATGCCAAGTGAAACATGATGCTTAACATAACTGGAATTATTAAACTGAAGAATTAAACATGACCTAAATGATTAAGCTGAAAGATTAACAGAAAAAAAAAATAGTTTGATGAAACTGAAAAATTGAACACAGTTTGGATAAGAATAAAAGTTAGGAAAGTTTAAATTCTGCATACAAGATGAAAATAATATAACTTGAATGTCTATAAGAAATAAAAGTTAACACAATTCAATCTTCTTACCAACATACAACTTTCAGAAATATCTGAGATGAAAATTAGGAAATATAAGTTGTTGTTGGTGTGTGTGTGTGTGTGTGTGTGTGTGTGTGTGTGTGTGTGTGTGTGTGTGTGTGTGTGTGTGTGTGTGTGCGCGTGTGTGTGTGAAGGAAGGCAAAATGGTGGTTTCCATGATCAACTTCAAGCTAAAAAATGCAGAACTGTTTACACTGATTTTCTTATTCACCCTTAAAAAGGCAGTTAGCATGTTGTGGTTTACATTCAGGCAGAAAAATCTTAATTAATCACCATTTATGACATGCTGGTTAAGAGGGTTTTTCACCACCTTTCATAGCCACACAGGAAATGTAGACAATTCAACTTAAAATGTGTTAATGTATGTATTTTTAAACCAGATTTAACTGCCTGTTTCATCCAGGACAGAGAATGAAAATGGTATTCTCCTGTATTCTACCTCACACATCTTCCCCCCCCCCCCCCCAACCCCTATTATTTTCCAGTCCTCAACTTAATCTTTATCTCTACCGCTGCCTTATGTTTAGTCATTGCCCCTAAGTACATCTGAGGTTCTTACTGCCTCCAGTAATACTAATAGCAGTATTTAACAATGTGGCAGATAGACACAAGTATTGTTTTGCAGGTCTTATTTATATGTAGACATCACATTCCTTGCCTCTCAGTTAAAATAAAAACAGCAGACCCTAAATTTCAAGGAAGGTAACAGTGAAATATAGCTCTGTAAAAATAAATTTGTCAAGGGATGTAAGAAAAGAGATAAAATCATGGGGATATAACTCCAGCAAAAGCTAACTGTTAGTCGTTGCACCTGTAATTATCAGAAATGCACATAAACGTTGCCACTAATATTACTGTTGAAACTCCACAGTTCAGCCATAATAGCACCTGCAAATTTACCACGTCTGGTGGTCATCGTTTTAGAGGAGTTATTAGTTCACTGAAATCTACAAACAGACTCATGGATTGTCTGTTATACAGTACAGATGCTGACACCTTTCCTCAATATATTTTTCATTCATAAATATTATCTGTGTTCTCTTTGGGCTCTTACAAGAAGCACTGACCACTCCTGATATTTCATGAGTCACATCCTTGATGATAAATCAATAAACAAACTGACAAACCCTGTTCAACCTCCAAGGAACTACTTGATGATTACTCCAGACACGACGAAGGTTCTACAGAATCAAGTGGCACTGTAACAGAACAGATTGTCCATACTTGGAGAGCTTGATTCGGCTGCCAGTGGAGCAGAGGGTCTATAGATTATCAACGCTGAAGGGAAAAGACAGTGGGATTTTAGTCAGGTTGCAAACAGTGTTGGAACTCTCCACTGGCTGATGATGAACTGGACAGGCTAGAAGCCTAGCAAATGCAAGATGTGCTAATTTTACATCTCTTCACTACCCCTTGGTAGATGCTAAACCCTTTGGGACTGAAAGAGTTAAGCAACTGTAGTAGAAGAAACAGATAATGTGATACTGGGTGGTCTACAGTGGTTGCAAATTTTGTAAAATAAAATGGAGTGACGACTCAATTTGCTTATAAAGGCATTTTTCCTACAAATAGGTCACAAAATTTACATAATCAACATGCAAAGCTTACTCCATAGGAGCAAAATTTGGGCAGGTAAAAAGGGAGAAATCTGGGAAAAATAGAGTATCTAGCAACTTTATACGAGTGTGACATTACGAAAAACCAAAAGAACTGAAAGAGAACACCAAGGTTCAAAAATGAAGAGATACAGCACTATCTGGCAAGGAACCTAAAGATAACAAATTTGAAAATAATTTAGACAAGAAAAACAATTTTACCTTCTTAACTGGCTGACGCTTTATATTCTTAACAGGTTCCTGGCATGCGTTTTCATCACTGTTCGATGTGCCGAAACTGTAACAAAACAAAAAAAAACAAATTAATATACAATTCTATATGTAAATTCTTTGTACCTCAAAGAAAACAGCATGTGTGACTAGCTATAAGGAAAAAAAATACTTGTCCAACTGTGGGACACAATAAATTTTTTATTTGGGGGGAGGATGGGTTATTTTAAAGCCCCATACCTCACCTTGAGTGCCAGCCGGCTCTAGGCTGGTATTACAGATCCTCACGCAAGAATCTGCCACACAACTCTGATGTGTGCAATGGATAATGGCTCACTTTTGAACCCAGTTGGCAGAGGATCTTAGAATTGGCGGCTGCTAGAGATGTAGTGTCAGTCTGGCTCTTATCAACCAACACCCCCTTCTATTCCCCTCCTCCCCCCACCCAATGCATGGGTGAAGATTTCTATCAAAACCTATTTGGAACATGGGTGGTCCACTAGCCAAACACATTACTAAATGATAATCCTCAGTTAAAACGTCCGACAAGTAGAACTACTGAACTGCTGAGATTCAGCCCTATAACAAGAGATTTACTTGAAGCCTAGATGTGTAACATGTCTTGCAAGAGAGGTAACTCGTGGTACAGTCACCTCCTGAATCTTTTGTTGTCCCTCAACATTGTAGTCGCCACAGTGAGGTACCCGGCGACAACTTGCCACAGTCAGTTAGCTGTTTTGGCACAAATGTCTGTCAGACACAAGTCCTAGTGCACAGCAACAAAATCTTGAATGTCTGATAAAGTCAGATGTGTCGGCTGAAAGACACAAATATCACAGCTCTGCTGTAAACAGGCACAACCTGTTTATGTCACTCAGACAAATGAAAAGAAGAAGAACCAATAAAAAACTGGTGTCATCAGTCACTACATGATGAGAGCTATACTGAGGACAGAATCTGAGCTCTTATAAACTAAATGGTTTGATATGAATTGGGACATTACTGGACTGTACTGGGACTAATTATTTGTTCACCAGTTGTTCAATGGGACATTTCATTTGATTTTCACTGGCACAGGAAGGGAGCAAAATGGGGAAACCTGATTGCAGTTAAGTCGAAACCTCAACTAAGACTAAGACCTATGGAAGTTCTGATGACACCGGGTGCATGCTTGCTTCCTAACAGTTGTTTGGTTTAATTCTGCCACACTTGCTAACATACCTTTGTATATTTGTAATAAACTATTGGGACAAGTTTCATATGATACCTAACTTGTTTATCACTATACATCTCATACTTGCCTCTCGGAACTGCTCTCACTCTCATCTGATGAGGTACCTTTAAGCAAAATTTCAAAAGGAAAATAGTGAATCAGAAAACGAAACAATATCTCAGAACAGCATTATCTAATATAAAGGAACTTTAAATGAAAATCATACTATTTAAATAATGCAGACACAAACAATACATTGCCAAATTTATTGCCAGGCATATTTCGCTGTATCTTGTCATGTGCGTTACTACAGAAATAGATCAACATAAAATAAAGCACAAAACTGAATAAATCCAACTGATCAGTGTACCAAAAAAAAAGAAACATGGACCGGCCAGTATCTAAACTTTAACAGTTTTGTACCTATTCAGTACAAACGTGGTGTAGTTAGAAGCTTGTTCAACAGGGCCAGAAAGATTTCCAGCTTTCATGTTGCACACACAAAGGCTTGCACCAGAGGCTTCTTCAAAGCAGAACAAGGTCCTGAAAAGAGCTTTCCAGCTGTGTGTCACGACAAATTTGTCTGTCTCCTGCAGTGAGATAGTGTCTTGTGAATGTAAAGCATTATTTTATGTTGTTTCCATTTCTTTTATACAGGGTTAGTTGAACTGCTGGTTTGTTTGGCAGACTGAATTATTGTGTCACTAAATTAAATTTGTCTAAAAGGTCTGTCATTATTATGTAAAAGCTTTCAAAGCTCTGGTCTACAGAAAAAAGTAACATGCTGAGCTAACTAAATGCTAAGTAAACAATATTTACCTGCGCCGGTGTATACATAGCTGTAATCTTCAACCCAAGAAGTATGATATCTTATGATGTTTGTGTGTTTCAGACGTGCAAGAGCTTCCACCTCTCTTAGAGGCTAGTATAAAAAGTGAAAAATGTTTTAGACACCAAATCAACATTGCCAAGTGTTTCGTCCTTCTTGGGAGAAATTTTTTGTTATTTGAAGCCTCACCCTGGCTTCTGCCAGGGGCCGCAATATAGGCAGGTCATTAATATGGCCTATTGTCTGAACGCGGTTTCTGGGACCTCTCCACGGCGATCATGATCCACATGGTGGCACTTTGTGTCATTGGGTGTTTATTGCTTGTGTGATGTCCTGGTGGGGTAGAAAGTCAGTCAGTCCGTTTTAGACACATTAACAGATCATCAGACATGCCCACTACAGGTTACTTGGTAACCATTTTGTGGAGCCCTTATATAACGGTACTATATGGCTGTACAGCTGAACGGGGTTTCCCAGTTTTGTAGCGGTTTGATTCTCATCCTTGAGATGTTAATCCTATAGGCTACAATCCAGGAGTGGAAAAAAACATTCACAAAAATTAATCTGGTAGCACTGATTTCAAAAGTAACTTATACAGTGTGCCCAGAAATTGCTTATATATATGTAAGGAAAGGACAATTAAAACACCAGTGGCCAATCAGTCATTTGATGGTATATTTTAATAGACCAATCAGCATTCGGTGGTTTATGTGGTCACATATACAGAAATAGTACTTCATCTTCTCGTTCACCAGCTGTAAACTTTAGCGGAAAGTTCTGGTTGTTTGTTTACTTCTAGACTTTAGTGCTGCTTAAGAACGTGAGTTCTGCATGCACATCCATTTTACAGATCTGGATAATTTGTATGCAGACTGCTGGTTCCTTGCTTCTCAGGCAAATGCACTCAGACTTCGAAGCAACCTCCCCCCTCCCCCAATTAATCGACTTATGACATGCTTGTTGGGGAGGCAGTGGATCAATTCTTCTTTTCCCCACAATGGGGATCCGGAATCCATTCGAAGAATTATAATTTATAATACTGATTTGATATTTCTTCGCTGTATTTTAAATTAATGGTGTGCAATGGATACATCTTAATACATCAAGTTCTTTTCTTTGTTAAATGGGAATTTAAATTAGCAACAAACCCATTTTTTAGATTCCCGGCGTCTTCATTTCAGCGTGCTGACCATCTCTCATTTGTCATTAAACTCGTCTCATGAAAAGTCTAATGCTAATCTGACTGTCTGTGGCAACTTGTTTTGAGAATCCACATTGCATGCTTGCTTTATAACATATGTAAAGTAAAGTAAATGACCCTTTTACATGCCTTCACGCGTATCGAGCATATATGGCTAGACCTATATTTAAGAGATCAATCAGCACTCAGTGGGTGATGTGGTTAACTTTACTTCCCAGGTGTTTAACTTCTTCTTCTTCTGTTGTCCTATTGCTTAGGCTGCAAAGCTCCCAGAGAGGAGTTACATGTAGTTTCCTGTCTTTTGCTAGTTGCATAGCTTGTGTTAATGTCATATTGTATCTCTGTAGTGTCTCTTTTACCACCCCTCCCCCTTCCCCCACCTTCTACTTGATCGGCCTCTTGACTTGTAGCCTGCTGCTCTCATGTAGAACACTCTACCTGCTAGCTGATTTTGTTCCATTCTCACTAGATGACCAAACCATTTCATTCTTTGATGTTCTATGAAACCATTTACCTGGTACCAATTTAAAGCTGGGTCGACCGGCAGCCAAGGTCATTCCCGAAAAAGTCTGGCCCCATGGAGACCTGAACCCATGACATTTCAATCTGCTTTGCTCGTGATTAGAGCCATTCATGACTCGAGGTACCATTGTATTCGATTTTATTATTCAGATGAATTATCGATGGAACAACGGAGTGCATGCACTGAGCTTGTGGCCAGTGAAGAAATTAAAAAAAAAGATTAAATAAAAGGTAGTTTTGACCAGAAAAACACCAAGAGTGACCTTAATAAAAGCTTATAAAAGTAAATATCAAATCCCTGCTTCAACACTGCACTGCTTTGAAAGAAAGGAAGAACACGTTATACTGTCAATTTACCTTTGCCAAATCTTTATTTTGTTGAAGGGGAATTTTTTTCACAGCATAATTCCTCCCATCTAAATTGTGTTTGGCCTGTGCAAAAGGTGATAAAGATAAAATATTAAGTTCATGTGACTTATAGACGAAGTTGGATTTTTAAAACAATGAACCTCGGCTCCCTTGTCATCACAGGCTAAAACTGGTACAAGGAAATGTCCCAGTAAATATAGGTGGCTGCATGATATTACCCTGTCACCCAGTTAAACTTCTTATTCTTCTGCCTTCTATCCCCCACTGGAGCATAGGCCCTCAACCAACTCAAGCTAAGTTGTTCTATGTTTTGCTACTGCCTGCAGCTCTCCCCATGTCCTCCCATATTTTTAACTTCACTCTCTAGCTCCTTTCTCTGTGCTTTTAGTCTGCCTTTATTTGACCCCATGGGTTCCAATGCAAAGGCATTCTAGTCATACTGTTCTCATGTTTTCTCAACGTGTGTCCTATCCAATGCCAGGGTCCTTTCTTCACCTCTTGGTCCACGGGAACTTGTTTAGCTCTACATTAGTGATTCTACCATACCATTTAATTCCCTCTATTCAGCAAGGGTACCAGTAAACGAATGTTTGTAGTTTACTAGTAGGTGTTTTAGTTGTTCTCCATGTTTCCGCTCCATACAACAGTACTGATTTGGTCAAGAGCAGATAACTCAGAAGGACAGAAATAGCAAAACAAATAATAAAGTATTACCATTTCACTGTGGATATAACACACCTTACCTCATATACTTTCCCAAAACCTCCACATCCAAGCTTTTTAATCTGCTCAAATTCATTTCTGTAGCGAGGACCCTGAGCTGCATACTGCGCAGTTGCTCTGAACATATTATAAAACATAATTTATCACAATTTATCAAACTGTATTCAGATGTATATGTTATATTGCCTTTTTATATTATCATAATCCAGTTCTGCCATTTACAGATACAAATTTTTTTTCTTAATGTTCACTGGCTGTAAACTTAGGTGGAAAGTTTTGATTGTTTGTCCACTTTGGCCTTGATCTAGCACCTGAGTTTTGCATGCACACATGTTTTTACAGATCTGACTTATTCATATGCAGACTGTTAGTTCCTTGCCTCTCAGGCAGCTGCACTTTGACTACAAAGGATTAGATTTTTTTTAGAAAGGCAGTAAAAAAAACCAGAAGAAATTTGTTTACAAGAACTAGTGGAATAGATCGGGAAATAGAAACAAGATGAAAAATGAACCAGTGCACTTATATGCCAACTGAAACAGTTATTAAGACATCTAAACATAAGTATGAATGCCAAAAAACAGATTATGAACAACACATTCACACCAACACTGTGCTATCAGTGCCATAGGTTAGCACATATGTTTAGATGTCTTAATAACTGTTTCTGTTGGTATATAAGTGCACTAACACCTGAGAAATAAGATGCCTGAGAAAAGCCACCAACTTAAACATCCGAGAAAAAGTTAGAAATTATCAGACTGTGGGAACAACGCCATGCAGCAAATTAATTGAGAAACAGAAGAATGCAGCCACAACAACTACACATGAACAAACCTGATGGGAAAGCAAGAGGCCGCCCTGGGAGAAAATGGACTGATGACATTAAAGAGCTTCTACAATTACATGGAATGACAATAGCCATTGCTGCCCATCAAGCAAAGGATCACAAACTGTTCCTCCCCATGATGCTTGACGGCAAAAGTGGAGATTGATGACGATGATGAAGTTGATGACTGAAACAATACCCACCATTAAACTAATTAGGAAACAAAGACAACAGTTCATCCACCTGTTGAGAATAAACCTAATGATGCCAGCAATGACAGCAATCACTCTGAAGATGAGAAATACCATGAGAGAACATACAGAGAGAAAATGAAATAACAAACAAACAGAGAGAAAATGAAATAACAAACAAACAGAGAGAAAATGAAATAACAAACAAACAGAGAGAAAACGAAATAACAAGCATACAGAGAGAAAACGAAATAACAAACATACAGAGAGAAAACAAAATAACAAACATACAGAGAGAAAACAAAATAACAAACATACAGAGAGAAAACGAAATAACAAACATACAGAGAAAAAACAAAATAACAAACAAACAGAGAGAAAACGAAATAACAAACATGCAGAGAGAAAACAAAATAACAAACAGAGAGAAAACTAAATAACAAACAGAGAGAAAATGAAATAACATATAGAGAGAAAACGAAATAACAAACAAACAGAGAAAACGAAATAACAAACAAACAGAGAGAAAATGAAATAACATACAGAGAGAAAACGAAATAACAAAAAAAAAAGACAAAGCAAAATAACAGAGAGAAAACGAAATAACATACAGAGAGAAAACGAAATAACAAACATACAGAGAGAAAATAAAATAACAAACAGAGAGAAAATGAAATAACAAACATAGAGAGAAAATGAAATAACATACAGAGAGAAAATGAAATAACATACAGAGAGAAAACGAAATACCATACATAGTGAAAACGAAATAACAAACAAACAGAGAGAAAATGAAATAACATACAGAGAGAAAACGAAATAACAAACAAACAGAGAGAAAACGAAATAACAAACAAACAGAGAGAAAACAAAATAACAAACATACAGAGAGAAAATAAAATAACAAACAGAGAGAAAATGAAATAACAAACATAGAGAGAAAATGAAATAACATACAGAGAGAAAATGAAATAACATACAAACAGAGAGAAAACTAAATAACAAACAAATAGAGAGAAAATGAAATAACATACAGAGAGAAAATGGAATAACAAACAAAAAGAGAGAAAGCGAAATAACAAACAGAGAGAAAACAAAATAACAAACAGAGAGAAAACGAAATAACAAACAAACAGAGAGAAAACGAAATAACAAACAAACAGAGAGAAAACGAAATAACAAGCATACAGAGAGAAAACGAAATAACAAACATACAGAGAGAAAACAAAATAACAAACATACAGAGAGAAAACGAAATAACAAACATACAGAGAAAAAACAAAATAACAAACAAACAGAGAGAAAACGAAATAACAAACATACAGAGAGAAAACGAAATAACAAACAGAGAGAAAACGAAATAACAAACAGAGAGAAAATGAAATAACATATAGAGAGAAAACGAAATAACAAACAAACAGAGAGAAAACGAAATAACAAACAAACAGAGAGAAAATGAAATAACATACAAAGAGAAAACGAAATAAAAAAAAAAGACAAAGCAAAATAACAGAGAGAAAACGAAATAACATACAGAGAGAAAACGAAATAACAAACATACAGAGAGAAAATAAAATAACAAACAGAGAGAAAATGAAATAACAAACATAGAGAGAAAATGAAATAACATACAGAGAGAAAATGAAATAACATACAGAGAGAAAACGAAATACCATACATAGTGAAAACGAAATAACAAACAAACAGAGAGAAAATGAAATAACATACAGAGAGAAAATGAAATAACAAACAAACAGAGAGAAAACGAAATAACAAACAAACAGAGAGAAAACAAAATAACAAACATACAGAGAGAAAATAAAATAACAAACAGAGAGAAAATGAAATAACAAACATAGAGAGAAAATGAAATAACATACAGAGAGAAAATGAAATAACATACAAACAGAGAGAAAACTAAATAACAAACAAATAGAGAGAAAATGAAAAAACATACAGAGAGAAAATGGAATAACAAACAAAAAGAGAGAAAGCGAAATAACAAACAAACAGAGAGAAAACAAAATAACAAACAGAGAGAAAATGAAATAACAAACAAACAGAGAGAAAACAAAATTAAAACCAGAGAGAAAACGAAATAACAGAGAGAAAAAGAAATAACAAACAGAGAGAAAATGAAATAACAAACAGAGAGAAAACGAAATAACAAACAGAGAGAAAATGAAATAACAAACAAACAGAGAGAAAACGAAATAACAAACAAACAGAGAGAAAACGGAATAACAAACATACAGAGAGAAAATGAAATAACATACAGAAAGAAAACAAAATAACAAACGTACAGAGAGAAAATGAAATAACAAACAGAGAGAAAATGAAAAAACAAACATACAGAGAGAAAATGAAATAACAAACAAACAGAGAGAAAATGAAATAACAAACAAACAGAGAGAAAACGAAATAACATACAGAGAGAAAACGAAATAACATACAGAGAGAAAACAAAATAACAAACAAACAGTGAGAAAACGAAATAACAAACAAACAGAGAGAAAACAAAATAAACAAACAGAGAGAAAATGAAATAACAAACATACAGAGAGAAAACGAAATAACAAACAAACTGAGAGAAAACAAAATAAACAAACAGAGAGATAACAAAATAACAAACATACAGAGAGAAAACGAAATAAACAAACAGAGAGAAAACAAAATAACAAACATACAGAGAGAAAATGAAAAAACAAACAAACAGAAAACAAAATAAACAAACAGAGAAAACGAAATAACAAACAAACAGAGAGAAAACAAAATAACAAACAGAGAGAAAACAAAATAACAAACAAACAGAGAGAAAACAAAATAACAAACAGAGTTTTAACACAAATGAATTTCCCCAATCCCCGCTGTAAAAATTTTACCCAGCACTTGAAAAAAAAGTAAAAGAAGCGAAAGAGAATTTCGATGTGGGTTTTATTTTCGCCTGAGAAATCTTTCCCCTGTGGCATTCTGGAAAAAAATGTTTTTAAAGAAAAAAATAAAGAAAGAACGAAAACAAACTTTATTTTCAAAGGGGTTTCAAATTGAGAAAGCAGGCTGCTTACATTCAGCCCTTTCCAACACTCACTTGCACCA